CCCCAAAACCCCAAAACCCCAAAACCCCAAAACCCCTCTTTATTGGGGCAAAATTGAAAATAACACATAGAAGTGAACAAGAGAGCTGAGGGGATCCATTGCTTGCTCCTCTTTTGAGTGAATTACTTATGAGGGTAGGATACTTTTAGATATGCCAATCATATTCTTCAACATCTTTATAGTCCTTAACATAGTATCTTTGCTTTTTTCTAGTTATTTTGTAGGAGTTAAGACACCTTTGGCTGTTAATGATTGAGTTAGAAAATTCTAAGTATGACTCATTTAAGTTACCAATTTTCTTTGTTAACGCTTTGCCTTGTTTCTTTATCCTACACATAAAATCACTCTTTACCTCTTTTCTTTCTTCTGGGGCTGCATGAATTCACCATAAGGAGTACTAACCAGGCCCAATTTCTCTACAGGTTTATGTAAAAATTACCTCTAAACTTATCAATTCAGTCGTTATTTGATCACACTGGAAAGCAACAGGGAGATTTGGTCTAGAAGTTAATAGGAAATATACCTTTGTGTGGAATAGAAGGGTTTCGAAGGTATGGCTTCTGAGTCAGAGACGATGGAAGCATGGAATAAGATGAGTCTTCAGCAGGACTAACGGAAGGAATATAGCGATGAGAGAGTATCTATGGTAAGGAAAAGGAAGATACTGAGTTATTATCGGGCCTGTTTTTGTAAAACCGCTTCTGTATTTCTCCTTTATTTGATTTTCACGGTGGCTCTTCTTAGCTTATTCATAAAACTTTTCTTGATGTTAATTCTTATTTCACGAGTCGGGGATGAATCATCTTGGTCTAAAGAATAGACAGAATATTACTTTGCTCTAGTACTTTCTCTAAATCTTTCGAAAACCTAACTCTGGGAAATCTAGTCTTAATCTCACCCTCTCTCCCATATCGACTGGACTTATTTACCTTAAAATTAGTCGCTAATGCTCCTTGAGTACTTCTTGATAGACCTACAGACCCTTTCCTGGTTGCTTTCCCACTCATATCAAAACTAAGAGTGTTTTTGCGTGATCTCTTCTAGACAGTAACTACCCAAGAGCTCACCTTTACTTGGCCAAATTGACTTAGTCATTTCCCAAGCTCGTAGTCATCTTCTTGATTATCCATTTTATATCAAGGTTTATAAACTAGTGAGGGGTTTTGGGGTTTTGGGGTTTTGGGGTTTTGGGG